CTCGATCTCCTGACCTCGTGATCCACCCACCTCGGCCTTCCAACGTGCTGGGATTACAGGCGTGACCCACCACATCTGGCCAGAACTTTTAGATTTTCTTGAGTTTTCCCAGTTGCATGTTAGGTAGGATTATTTTAATTTAGCTTTATGAAGTTACATATTTAAATTATGCTAAAATGCAGCTGTCTGCACTCACTGGATTTAAATAGTGTAGCTGATTTTTGTAGCATTACTTTAGTGAGTTAGACAGTACCTACGGGCCAAAGCCTTAAGTGTTAGGCTAGAGTCTAGCCACAAGTCGAATTGTCAGAGAAAAGCCAAGTATTACACTTCTTTATCTGTCTTTCTGTATCATTTCCTTTTTAGGAAAGACTGATCTGATCCTTCTTAACTAGCTATGTCAGGAGTTTCTCACTTTCTTATGTGAGATAGTTCATCTTCTGTTTTAAGATCAAGAAAGAATCAAATTAACTAGCATTCTCTACCATTTCTTAAATGAATGTTCCAGTTTCCAGAGGGCACCATCTTTTGTTCAGATATTACTGGGCCTTGTGGGAAGGAAATGTGACTTTCCTCTTAGGGATAGGAGGAGCTAGGGAAAGGAAAGGTAGTAATTTCTTCTTTCTTTTGAAGAATGGGGTCAGTCTCCCTTTATTTGCACAGGGTTGTGGGTAGATTTTCCAGTAAAAAGTAAACAACTGGTAATGAAAATTAGGACTTCTTCATGGTGAGAGATTTTCTTTGCAGTATACACTTATTTTACTATCTGTTGTTTGTGTTTATACAGATAAACATGATGCTGGCAAACCTGTACAAGAAGGCTGGTCAGGAGCGCCCTTCAGTCACCAGCTATAAGGAGGTGCTGAGGCAGTGCCCATTAGCCCTTGATGCCATTCTAGGTAGAGGTATTTTCTGCCTGTTTTCATGGCGTGTTTACTGTCAAAGATAGTAGTTCTCAATCTTGGCTGTACATTAGAATAACTTTATTTTTTAAAAGTTCCCCTCCAGAGAGTGATTTAATAGGATTCTGTTGTCACATATTCAGTCAAGAAATACTTAATCATGGTTTTTGGCTGGGCACAGTGGCTCACACCTGTAATCCTAGCACTTTGGGAGGCTGAGGTGGGTGGATTGCCTGAGCTCAGGAGTTCAAGACCAGCTTGGGCAACATGGCACAACCCCGTCTCTACTAAAAATACAGAAATTAGCCAGGCATAGTGGCACATGCCTGTAGTCCCAGCTCCTCGGGAGGCTGGGGCATGAGTATCACTTGAACCCAGGAAAGTGGAGGTTGCAGTGAACTGAGATTGTGCCACTGCATTCCAGCCCAGGGGGACAGAGCAAGACTCTGTCTCAAAAAGAAAAGAAATACTAAAATATGTTTTTTCTGTCATGCATTGCTCAGAATAGGGAAGCAGTTGCCTTTTAGCCGAGGGAAAACATAGCTCGTTGCTCCTTGCATGTGGAAGAGAGATATCGTGCCTTACTTTCTTTCTTCTGCTTTTTGTTGGTTTAGGCTTGCTGTCCCTTTCTGTAAAAGGGGCAGAGGTGGCGTCCATGACAATGAATGTGATCCAAACCGTGCCTAACTTGGACTGGCTATCTGTGTGGATCAAAGCGTATGCTTTTGTGCACACCGGTGACAACTCAAGAGCAATCAATACCATCTGGTGAGAGCCACAAAGTTAATTCAGTGTTTTTGAGGCCTTTGCTCGTCTGGAATTCTGGTGTATCTGAAGTAACAAAAAGAAAAATGAGATGCTTCTCTCTTGGTGCTGCAGCCAGTCTCTGGGATGTGTTAGTCTTTTATACTGAATGGTCCCAAATATAATCATGTAATCATCTCTGTTGGGGACCTGTAAAAATATAAATCTGACTGAGTTTAGCTCTGCACCTGCATAGGTAGTAACCCTTGCGAAGCAAAGCCGGCTACCTTGGTGTGTCATTTTTTTGTTTTTTTCGAGACAAGATTTCTCTCTCTCTCACCCAGGCTGGAGTGCAGTGGCATAGTCACAGCTCAGTGTAGCCTTGACCTGTCAATCTCCTGGGCTCAAACCATCCCCCTGCTCAACCTCCTGATTATCTGGGACTACAGGTGCATGCCACTACACCCAGCTAATTTTCGTTTTTTTTTTGTAGAGATGGGATTTCACCATGTTGCCCAAGCTGGTCTTGAATTCCTGGGCTCAAGTGATTCTCCCACCTGGGCTTCCCAAAGTACTGGGATTATAGACGTGAGCCACTATGTCTGGCCTTGGTGTATCATTCTTCAACCTGGAAGAAAATCATTTTGCACTCACCAGAAGCTTAGTTTATTGCAACATCTAACCTGGCTTGCCTTCTTGGGACTAGGGATTTTCTTTATATTCAGATAAAGTTCAAGGACAAGAAGAGGCTTGGGCTTGTGTTATGCAAAGTCATTTACTTGAGTAATAAATAGGTGTCACTTGTGAATGACATTACTTTTAACACCACATAGCATATGTTGTGTTCTGAAGAACTGCCACCACAAAGTTATTTGTTTGTACTGAGAGATTTCTGCTTTATTCTGTATTTTTGCTATCCTGTCCTATATAACTTTTTTTTTTTTTTTTTTTTAAGACGGAGTCTCGCTGTGTCGCCCAGGCTGGGGTGCAGTGGCGTGATCTTGGCTCACTGCAAGCTCTGCCTCCTGGGTTCACGCCATTCTCCTGCCTCAGCCTCCAAGTAGCTGGGACTACAGGCGCCCGCCACCACGCCCGGCTAGTTTTTTGTATTTTTAGTAGAGATGGGGTTTCACCATGTTAGCCAGGGATGGTCTCGATCTCCTGACCTCGTGATCCACCCGCCTCGGCCTCCCAAAGTGCTGGGATTACAGGCTTGAGCCACCACGCCCGGCCTTATAACTTTTTTTAAAGTCATAAGCTTAAAGTTTTTTATTATGAAGACTTTTATATTTATGCAAAAGAAAATACTATCTGTATGACCAATCATCCAGATTCAACAACTAAATCCAGATTCAACAACGAAGAGGATTTATAATAGATTTAAAGGTTCAGTGTTTAATAAATATCTTAAAGTTCACTAGAGAAAAAATCCTTATTGCGAGATAACGTGGACCTACTGGGAAGCTTAGCAGATCTGTACTTCAGAGCCGGAGACAATAAAAACTCTGTCCTCAAGTTTGAACAGGCACAGATGTTGGATCCTTATCTGATAAAAGGTAAGTAATTCTTGGGGCAGGAAGACAGTGGCTGTTGTTGGGGGGGATCAGAGATAATAGGGAGAATATGCAGCATGAATGCTCGATACCAAGTTTCATAGAAATAGTGTATAAAACTTATAGTAGTCTTTTAGTTTTTTTAGGTCATAACACATGTTTCTAACACTTAGGTAATTCCATTTAAGCAGTTGTTTTTGATTGAATTCAAGTGTCTTCTCCCCACAGATCATTATTTGGCTTTTTTTCTTTTGAGGGGGTCATAGCTCCTCCTTATGACTTACAAATTTATGATGTGCCTGACTGAGAATTTGGATGGCATCCCTAAAACCATAATATCCTTTTAGGGAATTTTGTTTTACCGTATCCTTAGTATAATTAAAAAGGAATAATAAAGGGATAAGGTGATTAAAGACAGTAATTAGGCGTGAACAACAGAAAAATCACTGATCTTAAAAAAGATTGCAGGTGACAGGTAATCTTCACAGGGACCTCCAAGAGATGGCAGTTGGGACACTGGCAGTGAGTACTCAGGAATAGTGGGAAATAAGGTCAGATAGATATGCTGTCTATTTGTAAAGGCCCAAAAAAGGCCATCAGAAAAACAAGGCCTTGTGACAATAAACAGTCTTGTGAGCTCTTAACCCAGGGGAATGGTGGAGCTAGGAAGGGGCCATCCCAAGTATTTAGATGAGGAAACAGATCTAGAAAAATGGATTTGTTTGCACAAGATCTCCCTCTCGCCTCAAGTGCTTATTCCTCTTCTGCAAGCTCCCTGTACCCATGATGAAAATGGTGTTTTAGAAATACTAGTCTGGCAGCAGCTGGCAGCTTGGAATCTCAGACCCAGGCCCAGGAGCCAGCAGGAGCATTATAGTAATCTTGGCTTGAGAGGAATTTTCATGGGAATCTGAAGGGGGATAACAAGGGATGGAAGAGAATGGTGGCAAGAGATAGGTAACAGTGAGCATAGGTCCCTTTTTATAGAATGTGGGTGAGAATAAAACGGGGGCTGGGGAGAGGCAGTGATTTTTTGTTTGCTTGTTTGAGACAGAGTTTCACTCTTGTCGCCCAGGCAGGAGTGCAGTGGCACAATCTTGGCTCACTGCAACCTCAGCCTCCTGGTTAAAGTGACTCTCCCACCTCAGCCTCCCGTGTAGCCGGGATTATAGGTGCCCGCCACCACACCCAACTAATTTTTGTATTTTTTTAGAGGAGACGGGAGTTTCACCATGTTAGCCAGGGTGGTCTGCAGCTCCTGACCTTAGGTAATCCACCCGCCTCAGTCTCCCTAAGTGTTGGGATTACAGGCCTGAGCCACTGTGCCCAGCCTGAGGCGGTGATCTTTTTTTTTTTTTTTTGAGACGGAGTCTCGCTCTGTCGCCCAGCCTGGAGTGCAATGGCCGGAT